AAGAAGAGGATGGGAGAAAAAGGGGAGAGAGCGGAACGATCGATCGAGTGTGCGTGCGTGTGTGCGAGAGCTGAGAAAGAGAGACACAAAGAGAGAAACAGAGTAGGCGAAGGAGAAAGAGAGAAATGGAAGGAGAAGCAACAGGTTGGAAGGTTCGCCGTCGAGAATTATCAGTGGATGCGACCTCAAGAAATTACGGGTGCCACACACGTGTGCTGACCCATGTGGATGTGCCTGCGCATCCCTAGTTTATATGAAAATCAAAAGCTTTCTGCTCCGTACCCTCTGAACCTTTTCAAAGGACTATTAACGCCCATAACGTATACTTGCCGCGTATGCGGTAAATTCCGACAGTATCGTATTTTATCCTTCGCGCTGGTTGCTTTAATAGTTCTTCGAGTCGATGTATACGGGGTGTATGTAAATTGTTGGCGCAAACTTTCTCGGTCGATGGAATTCATTAGGAGAAACCTGCAACTTCTTTCGCTACTATCCAGCATTTAAATCTGCTATAATCATCCTCGCAACCCGCCTACGGAGAGAATTACGAGCCGCGATTTCTTTTTTTCCGGATCGGCACATTGACGTGGCACGAGGGAATCAAACTCAGTGCCTTGAATTAGCCTCATCATCCTCCTCGTCCTCGTCCTCGTCCTCGTCGGCAACCAGAGGAAATAAAAATATCGCGAGGTCAGCATCCCTTCCCGTGGATTAGTATACCTATGTAAGTACTTCGTTTTGCTCCCTTTGAGAAGTACTCCAGAGGTACTCGACGAGACTCTCTTGTAATTACCATGATCAAACAATGTTAAAGGGAAATCGTAGCCACGTAATACCACGAACGGACTCACGAGTGCCTCTCGGAGACATTCCAACGAGCGATCTCTCCGATTGATCTCTCTCGGCAGACGCTCTTTGAGTTTCTCTGATTATAATCCACAAACGTGAACTCGAAGCATGTCCGAAAATGTCTGTATGTTTGCGAGAGATAGTCAGAGAGAGAGAGAGAGAGAGAGAGAGAGAGAGAGAGAGAGAGAGAGAGAGAGAGAGAGAGAGAGAGCCACTTGGGCACACACGCATGCTTGTACTTCGCTTTAGCGTACACGGTTCTCTCTGTGTAGAGAAGCAGAATGGACGTACAGAGACAAGGAGAACAGCAAGCAATCGTTGTTGTTTCTCCGGATCCTCGTACGGAAGAGAAAATAGAATGATGTTTCTGATCTAACACGTTCACAATAGCATTGGCAACGAGCGATAAAAGATGCTACGTTAAGAAAGACAAAAATTGATGTCTCCGGCGACGGAACCGTTATAACCGACGTGATCCGACACGTGAATTTCCTTCTCCTTTTCTTTTACTTTTTGTTTTCTCTCTTTTCTGATCTTTTGACCTCCTCCCCCCGTCCCCGGTACTTTATCGACTTTACGTCAGTACGTTCGTCGACCATAATATTTAGGAGCAAACTCGTCGTCTTCTTCGTCAAATTTCTTACGGACGAGCGACTATGAAAAACCTGACCATCACCCTTTCTCCGTCCTTTCCTGCTTCTACTTCTGCGAATCCACGCTTCCGTGACTTTGAAAGCGATTTGACAAAATCGATTGAAAGCGAATTTTTAATCTTTTATACATTTAATCTTCCGACTAAGAAAAGTTTCCCTTTGGCCCATTTTAATTGTTCATTTTAATCATGATTATCGCTTATTATTTATCGTCAATTTCATAGTTGCCTTATTGCTTCGATTAAATTAGTTTCATCCTTCTCGTATTCTCGTAGACGAGGAAGACCATTTTCGATTATATCGTCTTCTCTCGTCTCGATCCGACGAAGTAAGTACCAGGAGAACAGAAAATGCATCGTGTTGCATTCTGCACTAGGGTGCATATACTTGCATACAGCCGCACGTATAACCATATAATACACGTAGGCGAGCTATGCACGGTTTTACGAGTCCATTCCAGCGAGTTTATAAATAATGGACGACCGGATGAATTATTGATCTGTGCGAATCGATCGAAACGAATTGCTTTATCATCATCGGGAGCTCTCGCCCGAAGGAATGCATTTTTGATTGTTCCCTGCATCTGCACCCTCTTTTACTTTTAGTCAGCACGTTTATATCCCTCTTCCACTTACACGTTAGAAGCATAAGAGACGTTAACGTGCGACATAAATTACCTTTGGAAATTTAAGCGATCCACGATAAACGATTTCTACGATATGGCGAATTTTGTACTCAATGGATACTATTTTTGTCTATCGCAAAATTTTGTAAAATCAGCACTTTTTTTTGATTGTACCAAGTTCGTCGTTGGTTCACCCTGTATGCTAGTTCAACGAAGTAAAAACATCGTAAGGTTCAAGCCAACAGTCGGCCCTTTCGATGCCCTTCCGGAAAGACCGGACTCCCTTTTTCGTTGACCTTTCTTCCGCGAAAAGCCACCATACTAAGCACATGTGTGGTCGCAAGAGAGAGAGAGAGAGGGAGAGATGGCTTGCTAGAAAGTTTTAGTGCGGACCGTTGACCCGAGCCTGAGGAATAATTCACGAGTATCTTTGCCGACACGTCGAGTGTTTCAAGACTATAGGAAAGAATCGAATTTAACGAATTGATGTTACTACTGCTAAATAAATATTCTAAAGGATCCTTTTTATCTTACGCGGTACAAATTTGACGCGTTAAATAGAATATCTTCGAGGGAATTTAATTATACGCATGTTAAAAATTTGTCCAAATATTATATTTCAGAGTTTCGTCCGAGCGATAAAAGCGATAAGATTTATATTAAAAAGAAGTTTCAAATGTGGCTGATAGGTTCTTTTAAAAGTCCGCCAACACGGCGCGGGATTACGGATGGATATTAAAGCAACACATACGTATCTACGTACATTCAGCTGATAAAAGCGTAGAACGTTTAGTCGGCTGCATCAAAGGCCCGTACAATCTTCGGGTTCTCTCTTACTAACTCATGCTAATCGTCAACCCTTTGACAGTGGTGCTCATTCTTTTACGCGGTCTTCGATCAGTCCACTGGACGAGAGTTAATCCGAGACGAATATTATAACGTTCTCGAGCTCTTATTATCCGCGTTAGTTTTCACGAATAAAAATAAAATTTCCAACGGATCGTTCGATTCGACGAAAAAAAGTATAAGAAAAGTACAAGATTCGTGGATTATTCAGGAAGATACGCGTAGATATATCACGTTCCACGAAAGTAATTGCATCGGGAGGGGAGATGGCGGATACGGGTACGGTCAGGGTGCCGCGAGAAAATAATTTTCCACTCCTCCTCTCGTTGCTTTTTTCATGCACGTGACGCACGTGTCCGGAGTAGTCGGGCGATAAATAAACCACGAGATGTACCTGAATGTGTCTCGGTCGGAGAGAACTCGGAGGAGAAGAAGTAGAACGCTTGTAACGAAGAAAAGGGTGTGCCCTGGAGTATTAACTTATGGAACAGAAATAACAGCCTTCTCCCCCTGGAGGAGCCAAAATAACTCACGAAATACTGGATTGTCCGCAACATGTACGTGCTCCGTACCTGAGAGAGAGAGAGAGAGAGAGAGAGAGAGAGAGAGAGAGAGGATGTAGAAATAGATATAGATAGAGAAAGAGAGTGCTTCCCACGTTTGGAATTCCGGCTGCTCAATATTTCTAGCCGCGGATGAACCGTCTATTTATTACTCGTCCTACAGAATTGTTTATTTTCCTAAACACATACATGGCGACCGAGTGAAATAGAGTCTAACTGTTCATCGAGTGGGAGGATAAGAAAAATGTAACAATACCATCCGTATCCGTGATATTTCTTTCGGATTAGCCTAAAGAAAAAAGTATTATCGTTATTTTTAATATATTTGACGGAAGAAAATATTAGTCATTTGTACTTCGATCAATTTTATTAAAAGTCAACGGACAAGAGAAGAAGAAGCATTTGTAGATTATAAACGAGTGCATTAGGAAAGTTACCTTTTCGAAAATGATATTGCTCTTCGAGAATTGATATGCGCGGCTTTGTTTACAGTATTAACTTTATGATTTCTGCCATTAAAGTAATCGATTAGAAAGAAGATTTTTATTATAAAATAAAATGCGAGAAAGTAGGACGATGCGAACAACCGTATCGCGTATGCGTACGGTACTTAGTCGGGAACTAAATTAAAATTAAGCATCTCGTATTTACTTTAACAAGTGCTTTTGAGTATCGCCTCGATACTTATCCACGTCGCGAAACCAAACTATATTTGCTAGAAAATTGCATTCGATGCATCGGCTTTCGTGAAAACTCGCGACCCGTCCATATATGTATAGTGCATCTACATATATACATATAAACGCGGTGAATTTTAAAGGCCGTCATGTTACACGCGTAACACAGTCGGTATAGACATATTTAGATATATACGTACGTATGTACATACACACAAAGTCGGAAGGTGGTACGTCTACATAGAAATAGAAGGAAGGAATTAGCATAAGCCATTGTCCTGCCAGTTCGCTGGCCAGTAGGAAGTATCTGAAAGCTCCTCGCAATAAGCCTTTCCACGGCGCAGGTGTAGTACTGTTATAACCGTAAATTGAAGGTCCGAGGATGTCCGAGGATTTTCCTGGTTTTTTTTTAAATGATGTATTAACGAGCGATTCGATAATTTCATTCGTTAATTAATACGATTAAAGTATTAATCGAATTAAATCGATTAAACGATGTTGCAAGAAAGCGGTTAGAGTACTTCTCGGTTTCGTCTATTTTTATAATCAACGATCAAACGAAGAAAGGACAGAAAGGAAACACGTGTTCGCCATGCTGTCCCGCTTTCTTGTCATGTGCGAATCGTATTTCGTCCGGAAGATTTATCGACGCTTTCATATTTAAACCGCCTCTTTTAAGTTACGCTTTACGAAGAGTTAGTCGAACTGTTAAGACATTTAAATACTAAATGACAAATAATTGACTAAAAAAGAATAAAAAATGATGAAAAACAAAAAGAAGACTAACCACGTGCTCCTGATGACAGTCATCCCGATGAGGATGCTCTCCGGTTGAAGGGAACACCGGAATGTCCTCTCGGCTAGATTAACAACACGACGCGAAGAAGAAGAGAAACACGCAGCAGCACCTCTACAGACCGGGAGTCGGGCGCTGACTGAACGTGACTGCGATTCTCTGGAACCGGGAGGAGGCTGCGTCGACCAGCCAGGGACCACGAGCCTGTGGCCTCCTCCTGACACTCGAGTCGTAACTAATTTTTCCCTACCCCTTCCCCAACCCCCGCCCATCTCTCCTTCTCCTCCCTCGCTCTCACAGAATTCCTCTCCAGAACTTGATTGAAGTCTGCCGTCGTTACTATCGTGATTTCCCGAGTTTTAGAGTTTTCGAGATAAACCTTTTTTCCCAAAGATTCTATTTATATAAGAAAAATCCGGTACATGCGTAACATGCCATCGAGTAAGCGTGTTCTCTTGTTTCAAGAATCGATGCAATTAGACGACTAAAAGGAAAAGTAAAATTACTTCTTCTGTTTCTAGTTCTTGTCGATATTCTTACGTGGCCGCAAGGTGAGAAAAATGCGATACGAGTTCTCTCAAAGAACTCCCGGCTTTTGAAAATTCATTCGGTTCTCTCACGGGGCAGAGGTGGGAACGTCTTAATGGAAACGAAGCGATCGCTGGCAAGCAAACTGGATGGATGAACGATCGGATGAGCAAAGGAGCGAGCGATTTACGACCGATCCAGTCTCTCTCGTTTTCGCTCTATCTCTTTTTAGCACGTGGAAACGTCTGATGAATAATGTAAGGCATGCATCGCGATCGGCCGTTAATAGTAACGAGCGAGCATTATTCCTCAGCGAGGAATACTCGAATGGCACCTCGCATGGCCCTCAAACGAACGGCAGTACTTCGTATAATTAAACTTTCAGACCAATTACCGTCCCTTCCCCACCCACAGAGCACGTCTCGCGGAGCTTCTCGAAAGAACACTTTCCAAGTGCGCGCTCCTCGTCGAACGTCATAACGCACGTTGGAGACCAACGATAATGACTTTTAATAAGAAATGAACACATAAAAGAACCTCTGTTCGATGTGGCCACGAATCATTAAAATTAAATTTTAATGTTTCGCCGATCGTGTAAGGGAGAAACCTTTCTCCTTTTCCATTTCGTTGCTTTTCACTCTACATATCATTTCGATTATAATAATTTTAAGTCAGTAAAATTGTTCGCTGCGTGGCAAAATTGCACTTTAAGAATCAACCGCTGTCTCAAATACATTAATAAATTTCTGTCCGTCAGGAGGAAAGTATCGCATGAGTTTTTCATATAAATTCAAATGTTATATGTATGTACGTATATGTGTGTATATATATATATGTATATGTATATATATATATGCTCGACGGGGGCGCATACGAGCAGCGAATATCCCACGCGTAGGCTGCGCTTATTCTCGTAATGTAAACGTTAGGACGATTAAATATCGCAAAATTTTCGAAATTGAAGGTAGGCGAAATCGTTCCATACGCGGAAGTACTCTTTGTCTCGTGGGTTTACTATATTTAAGACTTATAAAGAGAAGACAAAAATTCAAATCAAATTCGCCCTTTTCCAAAAGACAATAAATAAGGAACACCGTTACAAAATGATCCTGTACTCTTTCGCGATCTACGACGACTTGAGAGAGAGAGAGAGAGAGAGAGAGAGAGAGAGAGAGAGAGAGAGAGAGAGAAAGAGAAAGAGAGAAAATAATAAGGAAAGTAAAGGAATAGAGCAAAAGAATTTGATAATATTTCACACTAACCGGATAAATCGATGGTGCATGATTAACGGCGTGGTCCGCCGATCGAGCGGAGATCCAAGCAGCCCTCACGAAGAGTCCCAAGCTCGAAACTTGAACCGACGATGTCTTTACGTACTCGTAGAACGTACGTGTGTAGAAGAGAGAAAAGAAGGACCGAATTGCGTTGCTCGCGCGCCTGCGACTCGCGAGAGAAAACTAAGCCGAAAGAGGCTTATAGCGAGACCGAAGAGAGAGGACCGCTCTGTTGGAACCCCCGATGCGAAGGAGGAGAGAGAGGCGGAGAGATAGGCAGAGGGAGAGAGAGGGGGGCAGAGAGAGAGAGTAGGGTGCAGGCGCAGCAGAGCAAAGAGGAGAAAGAAGAAGAGTAGGAGGGAGAGAGGGAGGTGATGGAGCCCAAGAGGGATTCGGAGAGGAACCGGTGGGGACTTCTTGCTCATTCATACTCGAACGCCTCCGCACAGAACGAGAGAGACAGAGAGAGAGAGAGAGAGTGTCCCTCTCCCTCTTTCTCTCCACGAATGTCTCCATGTAACTTCTTGCGCGGCACTCGAGATGCGTTCAATGCCACTTAATCAACGTATTTCTCGAGATTAGAGCCGAAACGTTCGTTAATAATCGTCATTTTCCGTCTCCCTTTCTCCTAGCTAATCTTCTCATCGAATTAGCGGCTAGTATTGTTCATTATCGCGTCTGTGAATTCGTTGTTAGCCGAGCATTCAAAGTTTTGTACGAGATTATTCAAGATTTTCTCCATATCGATTCGTCAAAACTTTTCTGTTAGTTTTATCAATTGATAATTAGAAATTCAAGTAATCTAATACTTGGAAATTGTTGGTCGAACAAAGACCTTTGAAATGAAGAATAAGCGGGAGTAAAGCGTAGAAAATCCTAATGGCGATCAACGTTCAAATATTGTTAATTCGACGATTAATGAATACGGAGATATGTCACGATGCATATAACGGGCATTGGCATATACGCCTGATCAATTTCGATCAATCCCTGATAATTCCGTTCAAAATGAAACTGCATTTCGAGGCGTACCGATTCATAATCGTACGTGCGTATGTACGTGCCTTTTATTAATTACCATACGATTTCGTTAATTACGAAGCATTATGCCGTACACGTGCGATACCACTGCCAATCGAAATATTCGCGACGTGTAACTGTGGTCCGATGTCCAATACTTGCGTTTCTAATGCTAATGCGAATTATTGACAGGCTTTAAGTCATCTCAGTTATTTTCTGCTCTATGTCCATTATCTTTAACCTCGCATTAAACGTTCAACGTCGCCTTTGAAGTTACCGCGAGATAAAAGCAAAAAAAAAAAGGAAATATCACTATGTGCGTCTATTTTTAAAAAGTGGATAGGTACATACAGTAGTAAGTACGTACTCGTCTCGCATTACACTCGCGGTATATTATATTATTTCGCATTAAAAAATAAATATCTATGTAATGATTAATCGTATAATATAATAACCGTATAAACGCATCGTGACCTCTCAGACACCGATCTCCATTCTAATGCACTCTCATAGAATTCTCCATTAACCGTAATAGTCTATCATTTTCCGAACCAATGTTCCGTACGACCGAATCGCTTTGGTATAAACAACGATACGATTTTGCAGATAGAAAAATTAAGTTCGAAAAAAATGCAAAACAAAATTGAAAAAAAATCAAAACGACAGGATAATTCGAAAAAAATTGAAAAGAAATTGAATCGAAAATTTGTTAAATTGGTAACACACGCGATATTCTTTAGACATGTACGTATGTATGCGTACGCTATTCGGTGGGCGTAAAAGGAAATGTGCCGGATGACCTCGGGTAGCTTCGGTTGTATTTAGGACACCCGATAGACGATAGCTACGAGCTCCAGGATGCAAACTGATAGAAACTGGCGCGTGTGATTCAACTTCATTAAGAGATATATATATATATACATATACACGCTCGCGCGCACGCGTGCTCGCGCGTGCTTGCATGCGTGTGGATGTATATATTATAAATACGTTCATTCAGTTTCACCTCCGATATTTGTCGACATTTCAAATTCACGTTTCACTTATCCCCCATGAAATAATTATCGATATAAGGCTTTGAATAGCTTCACATCTCGCTAGGTAAATATTTCTTTTTTTTTCTTTTTCAAATTCTACAAAATAATATTTGACCGTCGAAAATTATATCCATGAATCTATGGATATATATATATATATATATATATATATACACATATATAAATGAATCGACTTTCATTTTCACGCAAAGTATAATGGTATCGTTAGTAAGTAATTGTAGAAGAACGGCGAATAGGATGATGTTTATCGTTGGTCCATTTTTATCTTTTTCTATTTCGTTGATAGAAGCCAATTTGGCAAGAGGTTCATTAAAATAATTGGGTCGCCAGATAAGTTTTTATATTTTTCGCCTGCTCCGAGTCAGAGAAACAAAACGATTGAATAACGTCTATTAAAAGAACGAGAGGCGGTTTTTCAATGAATGTGTAAGTCTATTATACGTACATATAAACGTCTACGTGTATGAAACGTGAATTCCGTTGAAAATTATAAAACAGACGAGGAAAGTGAGCGTAGGTTATGCCTCCCTCGTGATATGTTAATGATATCTAAATAATTTTCTAAGTGACGTCATTCTTCTCCTTAATAGGGTGTCATCGCATAAATCATCGAAGTGACCAAGAAAAATGGCTTATTCTTACAACATTGAAGAAGTTCCAATGGCCGACGAGCCGTGCGTGGAACACGACATTCGCCGTGCGAAACAATATTTGCTGAAGCATAGTCCCGAGTCCGGTGATAATCTGTACGTAATTGTCGGTAATAAAATTTAAAAAGAAACATATAGATTTATACTATCGAAAGATTTTAGGTACGACCACTTGTCGGATCTCCTCTCTAAGATACTCGCTGAAAGGCCAAAAAATGCTGTCGATTTATTCGAGGAGTATAGCAGACGGTTGAAGGAAGAAAGATTCAAAACCGAGACTGATCATTTGCGTGACGTATACGTTCCACCTGTGCAATATGAAAATGCAAGGAAGCTTATCGCCTTGTTTCAAGTAAATCAAACGTTTCGAGTTAAAATCCTTTCGATATTATGTATATAATTTGAAAAGTCGTCTTTCCGATCGAAGAGCTCGATAACCGAAACGATACACGAAGAAGATAGAATGGAGGAGGATGAAGAGAGTGAGAAAAAGAAATCGATACCAAATATGATGGACTTACTATTTTATTTCGAACAAACTGGCGTGGGTTTGCCACGAGGCGAAATGATTTTCCTTAATCTAGCGATAAGAAAATTAGCGAGCAGCGTCCCCATCGAAAACGTGAGGTACCGTCTATAAAATATTTTGATCCTAATGATGCGCTCGATATTATTTATCTTTAAATTATAGTAAACGAAAATTTGTATCTTCGCGAGTATAGGTTTTGGGGTAAGATCCTTGGTAATCCGAAGAATTATTACGTCGTGGAGGCCGAACTTAATGAGGACGAGCTACGAAGGAGATTAGAGGTAATTGCTTCTATATCGGTTTCAACGATTTTTTCAACGATTAAAATGAAGAATAATTTTTCAAAGTAGCAAGTGACAGCCAAGGAGATTAGAGAAGAAAATAGGGAGGAAAAAGAGAGAGTCCAGGAAATATCGGGCGAAGACGAGGAGGAAAAAGGATTACAGTTGGTATTTCCACCATTGCCAGTTAGTACATGGGAAATGCCAGCGGAAGTGCCACCGGAACAAATTGGAACTGGTGTAAATGCTAAGGTCCAAAGTTTTCTCTTTAATCTACTTTTTATTCTCTTTCTCTCTCTCTCTCTCTCTCTCTCTCTCTCTCTTTCTCTCTTTCTTTCTCCCTCTCCTTTTTGCTTTCTCGTTTCCCTACTCATTTTCATTTTCTTTTAGGTATATTTCGTATGCAACAGACCAGGAATCGATGATTGGCTCGAACTTCCAGCGGTCACGCCGCAACAAATAATGATTTCTCGTGAAATCGTTCGTTACTTTACCGGCAATTTGAAGACACCGGTATAATTAATATTTTTGATCATTTTAGAGAAGCGCTACGCATATATCTTTTCGATTATTAGATACACACATTTCCACCATTTCCTGGGACCGAAGAAAATTATCTCCGAGCAGAAATCGCGAGAATCAGCGCAGCCACCGACATATCGCCAATAGGCTATTTTACGTTCGGTGGATTAGACGAGGAAGAGGAGATAGATGAAGAGACGGGAGAAGGTTAGGATCTATGTGTATTCGATTTAAATCAATATTTTTAACTTCTCTCAAATTGGATAAAACGTTAGGATTTCGATCTAATTGATTAATCAACGAGGTTATTCTACATTCAGAAGGGACCTTGACGGAGAATGTGCATTACGATCCATTGCCGGTCAAGGATCTAGTGGATCCATCAATGTCGAATTGGTGTCATCATACTCCGTATATTCTGAAGCAGGGACGTACGGTCTGGTGGGATCCACGAGGAAAGGAGGTTGACAAATTATTCCGTAGAATTATTTTCATCTCGTTTTTCGCGCATTTCAATCAATTTACGATTGATACGGAGAAAAACTTTGTATTCTCATTTGACGACTCGAATCTGAATGCGTCGAATTTGAATTGTTAATCGTTAATAAGAAGTTAATGATCAAACGAATGACAATGATTTAGCGTCATTAACATTAAATCGTTCATTGGAATTTATAATAAAATATTTCTTTCATAATCGTTGACAGTTAATTAAATGAAATATTCGATTGAATAAAAATATATAACATAACCGATGATGTATCGTCTAGTTTAAAAGAATAACTTAGGAAATGGCTTAGGAAGAAGCATTAGAAGAAGAAGAAGAGGAAGAGGAAGGTGAAGAAGATGAAATTAGAACTGGAGATGCGGTTAAAGAAACTGGACCACCTTTGTTGACGCCATTGTCCGAAGATGCCATTTTAGAATCTGTATTTCCGTGGACGACCAGGCAATCGTCGTTCGTTCAATTAGACACCGCGGTTGCTTTAGTAAGGTCAAATATTTGGCCTGGTGCTTTCGCGTTTGCCGTTGACAAGTGCGTTATGATATCCTATTAAAAGATTTTCTATTCGACTAGATCGAACTAAGAAAGGAATAGGCGAGAGTTTAACAAGATAATTAATAATTTGTCCTATAATCATAGGACATGCCCATGACCGTGCCCATACCCTATGCACATCCAGATGTATAGGCACGGACCTATTTCACGGCATAAAATGAATGCTTGCGCGATCATTCGAGATCGCGAAATGAGCTAACGGAGCGGAGGAAATTATGCTGATCTGCAGTCACGTTACCAGAAAATTAATGCGCGCGAAATTACGCTAATGCAATTTTAATGGTGTCATTTTCGCAGACGTTTCGCCAACGTGTACATCGGCTGGGGTCACAAGTACAACGCTTACAATTACAATCCACCATCTATGCCTCCCGTTCAGGATCAGTATAAAATTGGTCCGGAGGTCATGGAGATTCGGGATCCTACTTTTGAGGAAGAAGAGACTTACCGTATCGCCCATTTACCACCACCACCATTATCGATAGGTAATGACATTGTTAAAAACGATAATCGATAATTAATGCATCGATATAATGTTTTATACGTGTGTAGGAGAAGGAGAAGAAGTGTTAGGAGAGATAGAGGAAGAGGAAGAGGAAGAGGATGAATAATTGACAATTAAACTTCATGAATAATTCGAATCAACATAAACTCAATTGAAAATAATAAAAATGAGAAGAAAATAATCAGACATGAAAATGTATTTAAATACCTTCCCGCTTATTTATCGATGCGGTAGTAGAGAGATTTTAAGTCACGATAATATCCGTCGGCAAGTAGATTCCTTCTCTTTCAAGATATGTTCTTACTCCAAAGGTAATCGATATTATTATCGATAATACTTATGCGCTTATAGTCCCAATACATTTATCCCTATACGTTTCGATTGAAGCAAACTTGACAAAATATTCATAGATATAAACAAAATATGAATTACAATAGTAATAGGAGAATACTCTACGAAATATATAGTATTTAATTTGAGAAATGTAAAAAGGAGAAAAAAAAAGAAAAAAAAAAAAAATAAATAAATAAATAAATGAAAATAAATAAAAAGTATATAAACAAATAAAAATAATTATCTTACAATTCTATCAATATATAATCTGCTTATTTATTAAAGTTTTTTTATTATATTTTTTATATACTATATCCCAATTGTCATAATTAATGATAATGATTTAAAGCATTTTTTTTTTTTTTTAAGCATTATTCATTAGTCAGGATTATCGAAATAATGAAGGAGTAAATCAAATAAAAAAAAATTATGATATAAAATCAAAATAAAATTACACAGCAAATTTAAAGAGATGAAAATAGTGCCATCTATACTGTTCTTACACATCATATTTCATAAAAGGAACGTTTTTTTTAATACTAATTAAATAGAAAAGATATTCTACTTTTCAATATCCGTTGGAATATTTTTATTTAATCAACAGTTATATCTTCCTGGTCGTACATAGTCATATATCCTTGTCTTCTGTGATATCAGAAGAATATATTATAGAGGAATCAAAGTCTATATAGTAAAGTTCATTTGGTTCGTGTATATATATATACTCTTAACTACTATCACTTTGCACTTTGCTTCTGGTCGTAACACAGTGAAGCTCCTTTGGAATTCTTTTTTTTTCTTTGTGAAAATATTCAATTAAAATATTTTATGTGTTAAAAATTTTGGTTACAATGCTTAAGGTAATTATTATTTCCTATTAATTTCATTAATATGAATTATATATAATGATAACAATTGAAAATATTGCTCCTGTATATTAAAGATGCCGATAACCATATGCGTGTACGTAAACGTACAACGTAAATAAAAATTATCGATTAATAACAATAAAAATTATAACAACGAGTGGATAAATATAAATTAAATCTTATATATTAAGATCTAATGGTTTCGTATCTAATAAGGTAGTAGAACGAATGTATCAAATTAAAAAACATTTCAGAATACGGTAGCATTAATAACCGGTGGAGCCTCTGGTCTTGGTCGTGGAACTGTACAAAGATTTGTCAGAGAAGGTGCAAAAGTTGTAATAGCAGATCTTCCTAATTCAAAAGGACAAGAGCTTGCAGATGAGTTGAAAGATCAGGCTGTGTTTGTACCAACTGATGTAAGGCTATAACAAGTTAATCTTTATTATCTTTACAAGTTATCTATAACAAGTTAATCTTGTATTTATTAAAGTTTTACTTAAACATAGTATTTATATGATATTTCTATATTAATTTCATATACGACATATATTTTTGTAGGTCACATCGGAAAAAGAAGTATTAGTAGCTTTGAAAACAGCTAAACAGAATTTTGGCAAGTTAACTGCAGTTGTAAATGCAGCAGGAATAGCATGCGCTCTAAAAACATATGACTTTAATAAAAATCAACCGCATCAGTTGGAAATATTTGAAAAAATAATAAAAGTAAATACTATAGGAACTTTTAATGTACTCCGTTTAGCTGTTGGCCTTATTGGTGAAAATATACCTAATGAAGATGGTGCACGTGGTGTTATAATAAATACAGCAAGCGTGGCAGCATACGAAGGACAAATGGGACAAGCAGCGTATTCTGCCAGTAAAGGTGCTATCGTTGGAATGACTTTACCAATCGCGCGTGATTTATCTAAACAGGGTATACGCGTTGTCACTATTGCACCTGGATTATTCGATACACCGTTATTTAAATCCTTACCAGACAAAGTACGTGATTCTTTGTGCAAAATGATACCTCATCCGCAAAGATTAGGTAAACCTGATGAATACGCACAACTGGCACAACATATCATCGAAAATCCACTTTTAAATGGAAATACTATAAGATTAGATGGTGCTCTCAGAATGTCTTAACCTAAGAATTCTAATGTTTTTATATATAGAAATGGATAAAGGATATATATTGGGAATAGCTACTAAAATAAATCTCTTTATAATGCTATATATGATATAAATTTGTGAATTAAAATATTATTTTGTTTTTATTTTTATTTTAATTTTGTATCTCTCTCTCATTCTCTCTTTCTCATTTTCTCTCTCTTTCCCTCTCCTGTCGCGTCTGTTCCAATCCGTTGATAACGTGAACTAACGTGATATGAAAGCTAATATATACCTTAACTAACCATTCGGTAGATGTCGTTATTTCCATTTCATATGTATGACAGAAGGAATTATTAAGTAGTGAATAGCCTGTGCCCTTTCTATAAAGAAAATATGAAATTATTTCGAGATATTTTCAATCAAGAAGATTTTTATTCGTATTGATATTATATTTATGAAACGGAATAATACCGTTTAATGCAGAGGTATTTCACCCCAATTAAAATGTTATATTTATTAATAAATAAAAAAAAAAGAAATTAGAATGAAAGAAAAAAATTTCAATCGGAACAACGAGCGATGACTAACGTCACATGTTTCATGTGGTGTCAGCGCCCATTTAAAGCGTCATTTTGTTTTTCAACAGATTTCGTTCGTCACGTTTAATGGAAAAATTGTCAACATCGAGAACGCCCTTTGCTCCTAGTGTTCACGCGCGAGATATCAGATAATGCAAATCGTTCGTTCTTAACCTTGGTCAAAAAAATTTGACCTGACTAAGCGGACAACCGTTGCACCGAACACGTTATCGTTGTGGAATGCAAGTTCGTATAAAAAGAAAAATTGAAAGCAACCATAAATTGTGTGGCTGGGAGGTTTATAAGTCGATGAGGTGGCTCTTAAAGAAGTGGTACTTGTCTACATTTAAATTGTGAGTAGTGTCTAATGTACATGTATATATATTATATAAATGCACTAATAATTTATTAGTCTTTTTGAGAATTTATTTTTGCTTTTATTTTTTAGCATTCTTTATTACTCGCTTTATATAAATCAAGAACTTTCTAGTAGAAAATAATCGTACGTATATATAAATATATATATATATATATATATATATATATATATATATATATGTGTGTGTGTGTGTGTGTGTGTATGTATTTTATCAATGATTTAATTTTATTCTTTTTTCAGCTTATCACATTAATGTGTATTCTTTTGAAAAATCTTTAACTGATGATTTATGTTAGCTTCGTTACAGTTGGCCAAAAATGACAAATCCAGCAGAAAGATTAAATTATTCGCAAGATAGTAGTAGCGATACAGAAACTGATTATAAAGAGACAGATCCAAGAGGACAACAAAGATTATACCAAAATAGATTAAGGTAAAATATTCATCATCAAAATATGGAACATAGTGCTCTTTGCAAATTCAAAATATTGAGATATTTTATTATAATAATAATAATCCAATTTTCATATTATACTTTTATTTACAATCAATTCAATTATTATATAAAATATTTGAGATTTGAACACGCATACATATGTGTGCATGTATATGTATATATATATATATATATATATATATACATATACATATATGTGTGTGTGCGTGCGTGGTGTGTGTGTGCGTATATATATGTATATGTATGTGTACATATATATATATACTGATAATAGAAGTAGCCTATACTATCTCATTTCTTAAATGATAATATTTATAGACTTGTAGCATGCACATTTGGTACTTTAAACTTGTTACATGCATGTCTCACATTCTTTAAATTATGAACAAACTACTCATCAATATCTGATGTTGGATCAGTAGTAAATAACAGTACAATAAAACAATAATATGTGTAATTATGAGAATACATTCATGAATTTAGTCAAGCTTTCAAGAAAGACAGTAAACTAATTTTATGCAAAGATAAATTATATTACAATTTGTAACTCATTATTTTGATTAACGAAGAGATATTACTGTGTGAAGTTGCCTCATACAAAGCTTGTCTTTTAGATATACATTTTGTGCTGATACATTTCTCATTGGCATGATGTAGCCACCATTCACACCACATTCATATTTTCTTAGTTGAATTTTCTTTAAACGTGTTCACATCATCTTATTAAGAAACTTAAATTAGTTTAAAATCAGTCAGTAAATGTCACTCGATGCTTGTCATTGGTAGCAAACATTAGTAAGGAAATGTGGTTGTTTTGCATGTAGTTGTGGTGGTTCGTCCAAACCAAAACCTTGTCTGGTACAGAGGGATGGAAGCAACGATCGACACTGCCATTCTTATAATTCAGGCAGACATGGCACAAATATAAATCAATCAAGCAGGTAATGCACAGAGGTAAAATATAGAGATCATTGGTAGCGCTTGTTTTTTTAGAAATTCACTTCCTTATTGCTTCGTATTATTACATTAAAGAATATAGAAATCAGATATTTCTCTATTTCAATTTTTCATAGATCATACATCAACTATTTTTTCATTTTCATATAAGTAAAAACAGTCCACACCTTGTATTCTATAAGGTAGGTTTCTCTATTACTTTATTGTGTACCCAATGATGCTTTATATGTTTATTATCCTAATTTTTAGTTGCATCGGATTATTATTCCTCTTTTGTCTATAGAAACCGATTATAACATAATGTTCTTATTTCTGTAGACTCCGTTCTGGAGTTGGGCTTGGAAAGAGTCAACAAAACCAAAGTAGAGATATTATACCATGCAACAGTTCTGCTACAGAGGCTAGCATTCCACAAGGTAGCGATGAACGAATAACATTGATCGTCGATAATACGAGGTAAATTCAGAACTATGTTATATTTGTTTAATATAAATAAAGAAACGTACATGATATAACCGATATATAAATTCATTTTAGATTTATCATAGACCCAGCTTTATTTACTGCACGCCCCAATACAATGTTAGGACGAATGTTTAGTTCTGGTGTCGAATATGCTCAGCCAAATGAACGTGGAGAGTACAAAGTTGCCGATGGAATATCGGCTATGGTTTTTCAAGCTATTCTTGAATATTACAAAGGTGGAATAATACGTTGTCCTCCTACGGTTACCGTACAAGAATTACGCGAAGCTTGCGACTATCTTCTCGTTCCGTTTAATGCAAATACAGTAAAGTGTCAAAATTTAAGTAAGTTTATCGTTTTTAAACTATTGCAATAATTAATCAACATAAATAGAATATAGCCTTCTTGAATTGTTTTTTTGTTTTTCGAACTGCTTTATTATAGGAGGATTATTACACGAATTATCTAACGAAGGTGCACGCTGCCAATTCGAAAGGTTCTTAGAAGATCTGATGCTGCCTTTAATGGTAAATAGTGCACGTAGAGGCGATAGAGAATGTCACATCGTTGTCTTATTGGAAGATGATATAGTCGATTGGGACGAAGAATATCCACCGCAAATGGGAGAAGAATATTCGCAGAGTAAGTGTCGAATATTAAATTCGTAACGAAAAGTAATTTTAATACCGAGGAGCGTGTTATAATATTTTGTTTCTCTCGTCCAGCCGTCAATAGTACAGCTATGTACAGATTTTTCAAATACATCGAAAATAGAGACGTAGCTAAGCAAGTGATGAAAGAGCGTGGCTTGAAAAAGATACGTTTAGGAATCGAAGGTTATCCTACTTATAAAGAAAAAGTTAAGAAAAGGGCTGGTGGTCGTGCCGAAGTCATTTACAATTACGTTCAAAGGCCATTCATACACATGTCTTGGGAGAAGGAAGAAGCAAAAAGTCGTCACGTTGATTTCCAATGTTTAAAATCTAAATCAGTTACGAATCTCGCAGAAGCCACTGCCGATCCGGTATTAGACGCCGGAGGAAATCCAATAAATGCTCTTTTGCAAGCCGCAGAACCGGTGCCTCAACCAGAAGCGGCACTGCCAATGGGTTCCGATGGTGATGTTGAAGGCGGCATAGGGTTGCCTGCCGATCAAGACCTTGGACCTTTACCACCCGACGAGTTATCATGAGCCTCATTCGTTTTACGTATGTACGTTCTTTGAAAGTGAATATATATATATATGTATATATGTATATATATATATATATATATATATATATATATATATATATGTATATGTATATATATAATACGAGGTATGTTTCTTATATGCAATATTGATTGTGTTATTCAAAATACATCGTGTCCTTTCGATTCGCATCGATATAAATTTTTCCCATTTTGTACTATTAATAAAGTTTACAATGCGATTTCTCAATAATCTTTTCTAATTCTTTGTATATATATTTTCTTTTTTTCTTTTTTTTCTTTCTTTTGCCATTTTATTCTTTAGGCTCTTAAGGTTCTTCTCAAGGATAAGAAATGTTATATTACACGACCATTCCAAGATCATTCCAAAGAAAACCAAAGTCCTTTCTTTCCAAATATCGAACCTAATTAAGGTGAGATTCTTTTAATATTATCATTAATCCTTTAATAAATCCTTATAACTTTGAAATCACACGTTCATATATGTCTATATTTTTTTTTAGGTTTTATTACATTTTTTCTTTGGCAACAAAATCAATTGTTGCTTAACATGTTAGTGTTTGATAAATGTTTCTTTTTTCTAAATACAAATTATACATTATATACTTAATCTACAGCAGAGATAGTATATGTCGGTATACTAATTATAACTTGGATTATTGTACCACACGTACTATATATGCTATACTATTTGTACCAAGTATAAATGAATAATTTATATTATCATTAATATCATTATTATATTAAACGTAAGTTATACCTAATATAGTATATACTTTAGTTTACACTTTATTAGTGTATACTTTAGTGTATACTTTAGTTATTTATACCATAATAAACTAAAACTAAACTATAACTATATTGTACAATATATACTGTACTATAACAAGTATATATAATTTATATTTTTTTAATACAAAAAAGAAGAACTTGTACCATATAAAGAATTAAAATAAGTTTTAATTACTTTACCAATTCCCTTCCTATCATAGGAATCTATCTTATCAATCGTCCTTGATACATTCTCCACTTCCGTTCGCCAAAAGAGTGAAGAAGTAAGGTCGGTAACCGTAGAGTATCGGTCGGTATTAAACATCATCTTGGAGGACCAACAACCCCAAAAGGAAAACCGGAAGTGAATCTGGTTCGACAAGCAGCCTCGGTGGCTATACGAAAACGTGCGGGAGGAGGTGAAATTTTCGAAGGTAGTGGAGCAACGAAGAAACGCAGGCGCTGATGCGATCAATAAATGGTCCTCCTACAGTCGAGGGCAAGAAATCAGTAGCGTACGAGTACGCGATCGCCTAGGGTGGGTGCGCGCAATTGTTGTAGGACGAGAGACTTACGAAAACAGTGGGCCACCACCTTCCGGTGCGTGCGGGCGGTGTGAAAAACGAGCTGCCAAGTAGTGAGGGTTGCAGACTAGGCGGCTCGTTCAGCAGCATGCAACCACCACCTAGAAAAGTAAGCTAGTTGATCAAAAATCCTATCTCATGTTTTATCTTCATTTATCTTTTTCTTTTTCCTTACTCTTCCTTTATATACAGCTATACATCTCTCTCTCTCTCTCTCTCTCGCTCTCTGCTTTTTAAAATCAACCTTCACCCTTATTACCATCGTCATACTCAATGAACTTTACTGGATTTCCCTACTTCTTGCGCATACTCAGCTTTCTATATCTTTCATAGTCACTTCCTTAGCCGATAAAACTTAACCGATATGTCTTAGTTATTTTTCTTTCTTTCTTTTCTTCTTTCTTTCTTTCTTTCTTTCTTTCTTTCTTTCTTTCTTACTCTCTTTCTCTCTTACCCTTTTTATCTCTCTGTATATCGATCTTCGACGTCACCGTACGCAAAAATCGACGTAAGCAGCGCCTCGACGGCACCACGATGAGAAAATCAATGCATGCTTCGGCGCACGTTTACGAATCTATGCCAAATGATCGTAGTTCCGTAGGTAATCGGGGCAAGGACCCGCGGATATGCTGTTATGAAATCAAACAGGATCAACCTGCGTGAAAGATGTTGCGTAAATGCTTGTATAGAAAAATATCAAAAACGTTCTTATTCTTCGATGCTTCCCCAATCCTTTAATTTCTGACCCACTTTGCATTATCATCCGTCATATTTGTCGATATTTCGATCTTTAATGATATCATCTAAGTATGAGTTTCGTGATTATTTCATTTTGATAAGATAACATTTAATAGATCGAGATATCTTAGGAATCGTAATAGAAAATTTATCGTTCTATTGGATCTAAGTTCTATCTATGTATGTCGAATCAGTTTTTAGCTACCAAGGACGAATCGTTTTATCGGAAAAGAATTCTGAAGCTTTCATAGAAAAAAGATGGAAAAAAATTATTAATATTAATAGAAAAGTTAAAGTTTTCTTTTTAATAAATTCATTATATTCTTTCATGTTTTTAAAAATAGACAAAACTTTTCCATATAATTTTTTACTCCAGAAACTTTTCTTACAATCTCAACTATTGTTCTTATTGCTAGTATGTAAGAATGTAAGAAGAATTAGGAAATCTAGTGCATCGTCGGTCGCGTTACGTAATCGGTATATATCCTACACTTATAGTTTCTTAACATGAAAAATTCAGACATCCGATGATAGTTTTTAAATTATCCCGATGTATTGATCTTCTAGGGAAATTATGCAAAATTTCTTAAGAATGTACACACAGAACAGGCTGCAAAATTGCAAGCAAAAAATCAACATGAGTGCGATTTGCTGGAAGATATTCGGTGAGTTCAATGGAAACGAAACTTGTTATTAAATAAAAAGACGTTTAAATATTATTACATAATTAGACAACATGTTAATTTGATCAATCAAAAACTTGTTTCAGTAATTTTACAATTAAAAAATCCGCGATCGAAAAGTCATATTCTGAGGTAAGTTTAAAAAGTATTTCGTTATGTCATGAAAAAAAAAAGAAAAAAAAAAAGAAAAAAATAAATTACGTTTCGAACGTGATCAAATGTTTTATGCGCGAATATATTATAATCAAAATATTTTAGGCATTACTCAAAATATCTTCCGCATATTTGAATAAAAAAATACCAAACATTCCGGATCTCAAGGTTGAAGGGGGAGATGAAAAATGGTATAGTATTCGAATGATCTAATACTCACGATTGCTACGGGAAATTAAATACGTGGGAAACATTATAAATTATAGGAATATGTGGAATGTATGGAGAACGGTACTTGAAGAGAACGAAAAACTCGCGAGAGCTCGTTTAGCAGCCGTTGAAGTTTTTCAACAACAAATTGCCGATGACGCAAAAAGTTTAAAAATGCACAAAATTCAAATTTCAAAAAAGGTACATTTTAATAAGGGTATATATATACCGAAAAATATGTGTATGTGTGTGTGTGTGCGCGCGCGCGCATAGTATACAATATTATTCGAGTAGACACGATCTTTTCTTTTTCATTTATCTTTTAGGCAATCGACCAATTATTGATAGTACAAAAAGAATTACAAGCCTGTGTACAAGATGTCGATAAAACGAAAAAATTGTACTTCGACGAGGAACACAGTGCTCATGATGTTCGAGATAAGGCGAAAGATATAGAAGAAAAGTATGTGTCTACAATTGTTTATTTATACGATATACTTCAATTTTTATTATTTATTGCATTTATTTATTATTATATTATATCACATAGATTAAAGAAAAAGAAGGGTTCCTTCTTTCAGTCAATAACGTCACTGCAAAAAAATAGTGCTAAGGTAACATTAAATTATTTGACCTGTCTGAAAATAATTTAAACAAATGATGTATTATACAAATTTGTATTATAAATTAGGTAAGCTCAAAACGCGATGCTTTGGAAGAAAAATCAACAGGAGCTCGTAATGATTATCTACTTAGTCTTGCTGCTGCCAATGCTCATCAGAATAGATATTTTGTAGTTGATTTACAATCTACTATGCAAGTAAGAATACATAATTTTTCTTCTTCTTCTTTATAGATATTTTTCCATTATTAGTACGTTGTTTTTATACAAATGAATTTTCTAGTATTTGGAACAAGGCGTTTACGATAAAGTAGCTGAATATCTAACTCTTATGGGTCGTACAGAACTTCTTACATGCCTGGCAACGCAAAATAGTTTTGGCAAAATTCGCGATCAAGCTCAACAGGTACGATTGATGTTACATACACTCACGTGTAATGTACGCGTGTGTGTATAATATCTTTGCAAGACCGAACTCGAGAAGTACATAACGAGAATTTTTTAAAAAGATTGATCTAATAAAGTACTCATCCAACATATTATTTCGAAAAGAGAAAGAAAAAGAGAGAGTGAGAAAGAGAAAGAGTAATTCGTTACACGTTTTTACTTTTCAATAAACAAGAAACCAAGAGTAGTTATTTTTTACTTTTTCGATAAAAATGAATCTATAAGTAGTGTTCATTATTTTTTCGCAGAAGATCTTGCTGCGTACGTACATGTACGTATGTCTATATATACACATATATGAATAAACTATGTATATACATGACTTACTAATTGCAGTTAAGTGTATGGTCTTACAGGGATATCCTGTTTAAGTTACATTTATGTACATTACCCATGTAATATTTGCAGTAAAGGATTTACATAGGTGTATGGGTATGATGTCGTTGAAAATTATGTTAAAAAGGATTTTAAATTAATATCGATTTTTTTATAGCTCACTAGGGAATATAATATACAATGCTGCTGCCTATATTATCCTGTATTAAAGCAGCACATACAATATGAATTTGAACCTTGCGATAGTGATCCGGTAGATAGGTTCGTATCATATTACTGAGATCAAATAAAATTCTTATGTAGATCATGATAATCAAATCAAAGTGGATTATTTTTTACAACAGGATAACTGCTGATCATGCTGCTGCTACTACTTTGGGTAAAGAAGCACGTCGCTGGTCGACGAGAATCGCTCGTGAAGTGGCTAGTATACGAGAAAATAATAGAAAATTACAAGTGCTTCAGCAGTTGAAGGAATCTGGACAGAAGGTAAAGAAATTTTTATTTATTATAACAACATAGATCTATAAAAAGACGTGTTAATTAAAATTTATTTTATAGACTGATCCTAGCGATCCGAACGGCCCTGATGTAGATACAAAAATGGATGAATTAAAACATAGTATTCGCCGGGCAGAGGTATTATTTAATATCACATAAAATTTCTCATTTTCTTATATATACATACATACACATATGTGTGTATGTGTGTTTGTGTGTATGTGTGTGTTTGTGTGTGTGTGTGTTTGTGTGTGTATGTATGTATATACATATACACACACATACATGTATATGTATATAAATTTTCGGTTGATAGACGGCGAAATTAAAAGCAGAGGCAAGAATAGAATGTCTTCGACATGGCGGAGGTCGGTTAAACAAAATAATTGTTGAGTAAATAATAGAAACAAAAAAAAAATTCAAAATTAATTTAAAAATGTTATTTTTTTGTTCGTTTAGTGAACGTCGACGAATGGCTTCAAGAGGCTGAAACGTTGAGTGTCCAAGATATGCCAAGATCGGCCAGTTCTTTGTCAGTTAGAACTGATGCATCTGGCGCAGGGGTAATAATAAAGAATGTTGTAGTAAAAACGAATCATAATAGAACCGTTCTGTCTTACACAAAAATACTTTTAAGCAGGAGCATCCTTCTTCGGAGTCGTTCTACGATAGTGATGGCGATGGTGGTAGCGATTTAACAACAGTAGAAAGACCTGGTACTCGTAATGCACCACAACAAGAGGAAGAGGTTCAAGAAGAAAGACAAAGGCACGACAGTGAAGAGGTCGATGGTAGGTATCCGTCATTATGAACTCTGTAGAAAATAAAGAAATAATGTCTTACCATGTTCCAGCTTTACTCGAGCAAGAGAAACAACGGATAGAGCAATTAACTGCTGGTTGGGACGATCCAATGTCTGTTGATTGGATAAACGAAGAGAAAGATGAACAAGTAGAAACGCAAGAACCTGCTCCTGTTCAACAAATATACAAATGCACGGCATTATATTCGTATACGGTGAATAAGACATTTTGTAATAATCCTTTTTTAGTTAATTCTTTTTACTTAGAGAATCGATCCTCTCGTTAGGCACAAAATCCAGACGAGTTGTCGATCGTCGAGAGCGAACAACTCGATGTTGTTGGCGAAGGCGATGGAGATGGTTGGTTGAGGGCACGAAATTATCGCGGAGAAGAAGGTTACGTACCACAGAATTATTTGGACGTTGAGAGAGAACCGGATACGTCTGGCCTTTCTTCTCAAGGGCCTAGCCTCGTCCAACAAATATCCTTCTCTTCTGTGGATTATACTTTAGACGATCACGATGCCGTTGATCCTGATGCTAATTTACAGCCCGCTATAGAACAGGAAGGCGAACAAGAGGCGATAATGCAAAATCATATAAGTGGTAAGTTATTGTAAAAAGAAATATGTCGTTTTAATTTTCATACGAATAGATGCGTTATGTAATGATCGAATTAATTATAGATATCGATCAATATTGTATCGCTCTTTACGATTACGATGCTACGTGCGAAGAAGAACTTAGTTTTCTCGAAGGTGATATCGTTAAAGTACTTAGAAAAGAACCGCATGATGTTGATGATGGTTGGTGGGAAGGAGAATTACGAGGATGCCGCGGATTATTCCCGTCTCTTGTTGTCGAACCATGTGCTCCCGATGGTTCACCTTTGACACCTCAGGTTTGAAAATCGATATCTCAACAAACGTATAAATGAACGAATATATCTTTGATGA